GACGCATGAAATGTATAAAGTGTTGTTATCATTTTTCAACCGTGGACATAACGAGAATGAACTTTCAATCTGATTATTACTGTCTAGATTGATTTTTCTTATACATGACTATGGCATATATATTCACTCACACCTGGTATTAAAATAGACTACATAAGGTTAAGAGGCACTTAATAATAAACCTTTTCATAATGTCAAAGGGAAAATCCAAGTGATAACATTTCCCCCTTTTGTGGTAATATTGGTTAGGGAATTATGTAATTAGTGTCCTGAATGATAGTCATTTGTACTCTTCAATAATTGTGTGTACAAAAATTACTATCTCTTGGTTTTATCGTCAAATATATTAATGATACCTTTGTGACAGAGTATAGAATTAAAATATGATGAATATGTAAAGGTCATGGTATATTTTGTAGTTTGTGTCAATGCAAAATGTGTCAGGAATAAACCGACAAACGTGGGAGAACAAAATATACCCTACCATAAATATCAATTTAAAATAACTTGGAGCTTTATATCAGTATTATCCAACAAGGAATACAATAAATGATACAACTTCATTCTACATAAAAGACCTATATGTAAATTTGAAGAAACATTAACATATTTGTTGAATTTGACGGTAGAATTTTTTAGCAGGTTATCTGCTTTCTTATCGGAACCAACTGTGCGCCTCTCCTTGCCGTCCTTTACTCTTTTCATATGAGTCGGAATTCCTTCAGACACTTGTGAAAACCAAGATAATCAAAGAAGCTAGATCATTTAATTTCCCGTACAGGGATATTGATTATGTTCTTTCCATTAACAATCCAAACTTTTCTGATTGGGTCCCATTAATATATCCTCTAGAACTTGATTAAGATTAAATAAATGGCAGATACGACGTCATTCGTCTTATTTGTAGACGTATACCTCGAATTTGACTTCAGCGGTTATCTCAGTACCATACTCTATGAGAAACGAGACGATTTTAATTTTGAAATTATACATTTTTCTCACCAAAGGGACATTCAAACTCATATGTTAACCAATTGATCATCCAATTCTGTCTTTATAACGGAACCATAACAACTGTCATACAAGTAGAAGGTTTATCTAGCTACCAAAACAGGTTTACCACACCATTTTCTTCGGAAAATGCTGGTAACAAGTCCGGAATATGGCAGTTGTTTTACGCTCGCTCCGATCCTTGGTAAAGTAGTAGTGAAGCGTTATGTATTGTCAGGTTTTATTGACTTTCCCCCTTTTGAATTTACCTTGGAGTTTATTTTTGTAAAAACTTTTTTACACCATTCAAAAAGGGTAACGTCATTAAAATTGTCTTAATGACAATAATGCACCAGTTTATACGTATAAGTATTTTTATTATATTATTTAAATAGTTTCACGGCGTTTCTGATGTGTCAAAGTCTCAATTTTGTGATAACTTTAAATGATATAACTTTCCCTTTAACACGTCAACAACCTTAATCTAATAATAAAAAAAAAATAGGTAACACAAAATGTGCTTTTCAGTCCTTATAAATTCAGCAGTTTGACCGATTTAATGTAAACGCAAAGCTTAATTTTTTGTTCTTATCATGTCTTTATGATTAAGTGTATGCTTTACGTATTGTGATGAAAGAAAAGAGATGTGAACTTACATAACTCGTTTCTATCATAAGCTAAAGGAAGGTTTTGGGGTTATTTTCTACATACAGCCAGGGGCGTTACTTAAACAATTATTTTTTTTTTGATTACTTATATAGGCAATTTTTGTTTTTAAAAATTATTAAATTACTCAATAGAGTTATTTTAAATTTCAATAGAAGCATGGACTAAATGTAGTTTTTATGAAATTTTACATTATTTTATCACATAAAATTATGAATTTATTAAATTTGAGAGGAGTATAGAGATACAAGGTTACTTTAAAAATAATGACAAAAATATTACTTGTTAAAGTATTTTATACATCTTTGAAAGAATTAGTTATTAATATTATTTAAGGAACATATGTAATTGTTTTCGGGTACAAATTATAATAACTTCAGTTTCTACTTATTTATATCTGTCTACCTCAAGATTTTGAAGTAAAATGATATTTTAATAGTCCCACGAGACCAATCTTTGGCCTAGAAGCGTCAATATGAAAGATAAGTGCGTCAGAAAGGCAATCAGTGTTTCAGGAGGATTAGTTTTTATATTTCATAAGAAAAAATAACCAGATGTCTGTGAAAATTTGTTAAAGCTAGTAAAATCTGTATGAATGGACATATATAATAATATTTACAAAAGTTACTTATATAAGTAAAATTTAAAATAGCCTCGTTTTCAACATAACTTGTATAAACATTATTTAATTTTAAAAGTTACGTGTTTAAGTAATGCCCCTGACATAAGGAAATACCTGTACCGAGTCAGGAACATGACAGTTGTTTTCCATTCGTTTGATGTGCTTCAGCTTTTGATTTTGAAATTTGATAAGGGTCTTTCCGTTTTGATTTTCCTTGGAGTTCGGTTAATTTACTTTTTTTGTGCTGCAATTAAAGAAATTAATGAGATATACATTTCGTTAATATCCGTTAACATCTCATTTTTTTTCTAGACCTTAGCTAAAATTTGTGTGTTTTGATAGTCTACTTTGTTATATGCGAGAAAATTAGTTCAGCTGGTGTTGTTAGTACCCGTTTGATCTTTCAATCAACTTGTAAGATTTCGCGAAAATATAATGATAATATTTCATAAAAAGTAACCAGAAGAAACAAATCAGACCTCCGGCTACTAATCGACGTCTGTATTCCCGTAGTTCCGGGTAGACGGAAATGAATTAGTGATTTAACAACAATATGAATGCAGAAGGTTTGATGATTCTCTGTTCCAAATTGTTAAGAAACACGGAATATAATTCAGACTCTTTCATGTCATTTAAGTAAGAATATATGCTAACAATCTATCATACAAATCCAAGTTCCTTTTAAAATTTGGTGAGGCATACAATATATAGGTCGACGCAATTCTAAGTAAAGTATTTGACCACCGGTCTAATTAATTTCTCTGCATTGTTTCGTGGATCAATAATGATATCAGGAGGTCATAACATCCGTGTTGAACACGATGTTTCGCCACGGTATTGGTTTATTTAATCAAATCGTGAACTATATTGCTATTTTAAACTAGAAACGTTCTGACAAAGGTATTGTTTTTAAGGGGCCGGAAACAATTTCAAACATATCAAACTGTATTTGTATCTATAAACCGATTGAATTTGTCTGTTACGAAATATATGTTAATCGTCCAATTGCTTAGTCTTTTTTAGTGGTATGCCTTAATACTACACTGCTGATGGAAATTATTGTCATTTATCAATTTTAAAGAATAAAAACGACAGCTCAATTAATTTGAATATTATTTTACCATTACATGATCCCATTTTCTATGCAAACAGCAAATAGTTTTCAGCACTTCATCTTTATTAATGACATATATGTAACCATAAGATAAAATTAATATTAACCATTACTTCACTATAGAGTCATTGTTTTAATGAAATAGATTGATATATAAAAAGGAATATTTGCTTTGAACAATCAACCATCAATTGATCGTTTTTAACTGGGGATGATCAATCAAGTATTTTGCTTGCTTTTTTTACAATCCTTTTTTGGAACCCCTGATTCCAAGGGGACGTGTTACCGGTTTTAAATTCAGTTATTATGAATAAAGATGTGGAGTATACATCAATGACACAGAAATTCACTGACAAAGGCAAAAACTGGACAACGCACAGTCTTCAACATAAGACACGTGTCTATGATATGTAAAATCGTCCAAAGCAAGTTGTGAATAATTACATAGATACTGTCAAGGGAGATATGAATATAACATCAATTCCCATACATCAAAAACAAAAGCAGAAACAAAAGCGACGATAAGACAAACATTAAAAAAAACTACACAGAAAATCAAAGAGTGAGCAACACAATCCCCAATTAAACTGAGGTGAAAATCAGGTGATCCGGAAGGGTACAACGTTTCTACTCAACTAAAATCAAACTCATTTAAGTAACCAGGCTCATAATTTGTTATGCCAGACAAATATTACATAGATAAAATACAAAAATAAGTAAGCAATGAACGAGGTTGTTAAATGTGATATATGCTTTTTTGTGCTTCTTTGTTAAATATTTGTTTGTTTTTGTTGTGATTAAGATTGTGACACGGTGTTGACTGCTGTACCCCTATTTTGACATTTATACCTATTATGTCTGTTTGTTTTATTCACCCATCGTTGTCAATATAATGGAATTTGATGCGACTGTCATACAAGTGAGAGGTTTAGCGCTATAAAACCAGGTTCAATCCACCATTTTCTACATAAGAAAATGCCTGTACTAAGTCAGGAATATGACAGTTGTTGTCCATTCGTTTGATGTTTTTGTGCTTATGATTTTGCCATTTGATTAGGGACTTTCCATTTTGAATTTTCCTCGGAGTTCAGTATTTTTGTGATTTAACTTTTTCGCTCGCCGTGTTACAAAATTCATATACTAATGGATTTCTAAATTTTCTATATCTAATACTTCAATGTGTTCATATATTTGAACAATTAATATTGTAACTACAAGAAAGAAATTATAGTGTTAACCAAGCAGTTAATTGCTGGTCCTAAATATCCAATTAAACCTAACGACTGGTTGTTATTTATTTAACAGAATTTGTCAATAGTAATTAAAATTAATATTAAGTACATAGACACTCTCACTGCAATTCAATTTTAATACAAAGTAATAAATTTCGTTTCCTTTGATGTAAAACAAATAGTCAAGCAGTGTTTAAGAAATGATATGATTGTATATTTTCCGCCTTATCTATTTTATAGCGTGATTCAGAAGATAAAATTTTAACAGAAATCGCTTTTTTTTCGGCGGATTGTATATCAAAGACGTATTTAAGATTTATACTGCTTATTCTGAAATGCTATTGTAAACTTTGCCTAATGTAACTTTTTTTTCCAGCTGTCTCTGTCTGTGTTAGTTGTTATACACTTGTTGTTATTTCCATGGAACGTTTCTTCGCCATTTGCTACCCACTACGGTCAAGAAGGTGGCAGACACTGTCCCATGCGTATAAATCTATAATTGGAATATGGATTTTTGCACTGGTCTTAATGATACCTATAGCCGCTGGACAAGAAATTTTACCACTTAAAAATGGAAATAAAGCCTGCCGAGAGATATGGTCGACGAAACTGAAATCATTATTTTTTGCATATAGCATCGCCCTAGTCGTGATTTTACTGTTTATTCCAATACTGGTGATGGGATTAGCGTATGGAGGCATATCGTATAAGCTTTGGTTTACTATTAAACAACAAGTACAGATAAAGTCAGGTAATGAATGATAGCTTCGATATAAAGTGATATATGGAGATATGGTTTTGACCATACCATAATTTCCCTTATTCTTTTCACCATTATTTTACCTTGAATTTAAAATATAATTATCAAAACACAGTCTCTCCGACGATTATCACAATTACATTGTTCAGGTTTTTATAATCCATAACAAAATAATCAAAGAAAACAGGCTCACGGTAAAATACGCCACAAAAGATTCATCATTTTATTTCGAATAAAAACAAATTAGTTTCGAAGTTGCAGGACATTGAAAAGCAAAACATTTATTCTGTGTGCCAATTCTAGTTAATGCTACCTATCCCTTTGAGTAGAAAACCCGTAGTGATTTGAAGGATTTTAACATTTTATTTAAACAGTTAATTTACAGGGATGACAATATCAATTACTAGTATATTATCATGCCCGCTCATGAACACTGACTACTAAGCGCGTAATACTTTCGGGAATGAAAGGTTCCCAAGCATCCATATCGACCTATTGGTGTCAATGATGTTAAGATAATTAAATACGTTAGCAGATCGTTACGTCTTCTTAAGATTCATCAGTGTCGCTCGAATCAAAACAGTTGGATGGCAAAGATCAGTAACAAAGTAAAGAACGTTGAAAACCAACATTTGAAAAGTAGAGCCATGTCTTCATATGGTCATGAATGATGGAGATGACTTTTATCTTTTAATAACAGTGAGGTAATAGGAAGACATCATATCGATGAACGTTTATAACCTGGGAGTAAAACATTTTCTCTTATTAAGTGTCTTTTCCAAAGTATGTTACTCTAACTATGCTTGGACATTTGAAGACAAGCGTTTGCTTATATTATACAAATAAAAACAAATTACAGCTAAAAAGGAGAAATCTTATGCACTGAAGAAACATTTCATTACCTACGTTTGTCAGACAAAGATGGTCTCAGGTCGTTTTGAAAATATCATGTGAATTAACAAGTGAGAGTAATTTATATATCACGCAGCTTGACAACTTCCTAAACTGGTTGACATTGCATTTAAAGGACTATCTTATTGCCAAAAAGTATGATGATGACATCAAATAAGACAATAGAAATGAATTTCGTACTATTGACTTGACAACTCTTTCAATCCTCTACAGATACATGTACATTTAATTTTGAAAAACAAAAACATTTTTTGAATTCTTCTTTTTGTTGACATAAAAACGAGTCTGTAATGCTTATTCAACAGATGATGTTATAAGATGGGAAATAAAATGCAAAACGAGTTTTTATGGAACAAACATGCCCTTCTTTTTACATTGCGTTACAATGTTGTTTTTTGTTTTTTGTTTCTTTTTTTCCGAAAAAACATTTAACTATGGTTAAACATTGTTTCCAGATCCTTAAGCTTTTATCTCATACCAATTACCAAAATATTTAACATATTTTTAAAGACAAGGCTATATGTATTTCTTCTATGTTCTTCGTGACCTGTCCCAATTCATGGTTCTATATTTTAAACTATCATTAAAATATTGCATACATCAAAAGAAAATAACAGATGGTTCTATTGATTAAAGGAGAAGTAAAATGTGTTAATCAGACTTTCAAGATGACTAATGTTACTTATTCTTTTATCAATTTATCACAAATTGGGACATTTTGGAAATGAAATTAACATATTTTTGTTGTAGCCAACGTTACCTTTTTAACCTTGTAAATTAATTCTTCCATTTTTTTCTAGAGTCTACTGACAGAATTTTAAACGTGAACAGCGAATCTGAATCAAACTTTAAGAAGATTAATGGAACAATTAGCATAAGTTTACGTCAGTCTAACCAGCGTTCCAGCAACAGTAACAGGAAACGAGTCATAAAGATGTTGTTTGTCGTTGTTTTTGAATATTTTATCTGCTGGTCGCCATTGTATATATTGAACACATGGAAAATTATCGACTATATGTATATACACATGCGCATGTCCGAACTAGCCTGGTCTCTGGTTTTGCTGTTATCGTACACATCATCCTGTATACATCCTATCACCTACTGTTTTATGAACAAGAATTTCAGGAAAGCCTTTAAAGGAGTGTTCCGTTGCTGCACATTAAAATCTAAACCAATAAGTAGATCTTGTACAGAAGTAAGTCAGCTGAACTCTACCACTTCCCCTATGGACAGACAAAGAACGAAAGATGATGTGTATAAAGAGTTTAGTGATTAAGTACGATTTTCATTGTTCGGGACACATACTATCGATATCAATATTGGACCAAGTTGGTAAATTTAAAATGTAGATACAAAATCAAGCTCATTTGAGCAAACCATCTTTTATAACTCCTGCTGCAGTAAAATATATTTTTGAAAACCAGAGATTCATTATATATGGCACTAAGTTAAAGCTTCGACTAGAATATCGTGTGATTATTTGAACTATTCATCGTCTGGTCCGTGTCTATACCAAGGTATATATATATATATATATATATATATATATATATATATATACAAGTCTAAATTGAAAACAACGTTCAAACCTATGATTGCGTTGGATAAAAACCGTAATTTTTGTGCATGCAAAACAAATTTCTTGGTAGAGGGGTCTAAATACAGCACAAACAACATTTTCCAAAAGATCAAATGAGCGAATATATAACGTTCAAACCTATGATTGCGTTGGATAAAAACTGCAATTTTTTTTACGTGTGCATGTATATATATATATATATATATATATATATATATATCACAAACATTTCTGGTCACTTTAACATTTTTTGATGAGTCACATGAACGAGAAATAATCATCCAACATAGCTTGTAGGTTGTACTTTTTGTTTTACAGTTATACATGCATTTTTTTCTGTCGATTGCATTAAACTTAAGAAGATGAAATGCAATTTCGAACTGTATAGTATTTTCGATTAAAAATCTTGAGTGTTACATACAATTATGAAGAAAAAAAACAGAAATAATGAAATGTGTAACAGTAGTTTATACCTTGTATTTGTTTTATAGTGTAAAAAGCAAAATATTTACATACAAATAAAGTCTGAATTTGAATCCAGATGTGTGTATCTCTGCATGTATACTACCCAGCATGTAAATCTGAAGGACATGCACAGATTGTGATAACTTAATGTTTATTCCACGCCTACAATAGTAGAGGTGCATAATGTTTTCTGTTCTGTGTGATATTCGGTTCGTCTGTCCCGTGCAACGTATTAGAAGTTTTATGTCAAGGTAATTTTCCATGAAGTTTTATTCACATCAGTACAATTGTAAAGTCATATACATCATGGTGTGAACTTTTTAATTCATATGCGAAATTACACTTTTGACAATGATTGCATTGTTCATTAAATAGTGAAATATGAAACTGTGAATCCAGATCATTCAGAGCAATAACAGGTCTTTGGTCAAAGTAGTTTACCTTCAGGTTGTTTTCACAGCCAAATTACGGTTTTGATTCATGTCATATTTCACTCAACATGGAAATGTGATAATGCGAGTGGGGTTTTATTCCACATTAAATATAAAAATAAGAAGATGTCACAGCGATATGATTGGCAATGAAACAAAAATTTTCCACAAGAGACCAAGTGACGTAGAAGTTAGAAACTATAAGTCATTATACCCGGCCTTCAACAATGAGCAAAACCTACACCACATAGCAAGCTATAAAATGCCCTGACAGCTCACATAATACTGTGAGCGCGGCATAATTTCCAATGTTTGGCATTCACATATGAGGTCTCTATTCAAAAGCATTTAAAAAAATAAACTGATTAATAAAGATATTTTAAGTAAGATTCATTCTCCAGTGATGTACGAATTAGATGCGAACTTTAATCGTAATTATATGGTCGAGAAATATGAGAACGCTTTTTATCCAATTATGTTTTTCTTCTTCAAAGACTGCACTGAAACTTTAACGTACAATTCAAAATACGTTACTTAGTATTACTTAACAAGCTACGTATCATTAATGGATCTCCAACACTTACAGATTAGTTTGATTCTAAAACTTCTTAAAAAGAATTTCTTCAATAAAAATCTTAACTGCTCCTTGGAATGTTCATTAAAAACAAGATTTCCATTAACAAATTGAAAGTTTCTGTAATTAATTGTGACGTTTATCCTTAAAAATTGAAGTTTTAATGGTCATCTGAAAAAGGACACATACATTTCACATCTTAAAGAAAGCATTCTTAAGAAGGGAATACTGATATGGTCTGCAATATATATTAAAAAAATAAAATAACATTTTTTCTAAATTGTTGCGTTCGAAGCGTTTATACCTTCACCAGGAACACGCGTTCCCAAAAAAAAAGAAGATCAAAGCCACAGTTGTATTAACTACCTAAATACACACAGAGCTACATGAGCAATAGGAGCCTAACAAAACTAGCCAAAGCCACAGATGTATTAACTACCTAGATACACGAAGAGCTATATGAGCAATAGGAGCCTAACAAAACTAGCCAAAGCCACAGATGTATTAACTACCTAGATACACGAAGAGCTATATGAGCAATAGAAGCCTAACAAAAATAGCTAAATCTATCTAATGTAAACTTTGTTTAAGGGAGATTAAGCCTTAGTATTTTAATAGTTATCAAATTATCAACGGGGGATTTACTTTCAGAAGTATGTTATAAATCATGTCAGCACCAAAGCACCAACTTCTGAGCTGATGATACCCTCGGTGACTAACAGTCCACTAACAGAGGTATCGATCCAGTATTAGGTGTATGATAAATGTTTCCGGAATGACCATCTTTTGACAGATTCGCGTTCGTTGATACCCAATGTTAACAAAGTCATAAATTGTAGAAAAATGTCAAACTTAAAATGACACACACCGAAATCTAAAGTCAGTCTTGTCCTAGAATGATGCACTCTGAGTTTTATAACACTTACTAGTATACAATTTTTCTAACTTTCTACATTTACCAAATTTCCAAACGTGTTATATATTTCAAAAAATATAAAGATGACAAGATGACAAATTACGTTTGAGAATGTTTTAAATACATGTATGTCATGTTACCCTTGATTTAACTTTCCGGTTTGCTTATTTATTTAAACATAATTATTTTATTGCCAAGACAGACAGGATCAGAAACACAAGTTGTTAACCTAGAAAGTTATCTACTTTATATGCAGACAATAAGTAACCGGACAAAATCAAATACATGTGAATAACATCATACACAATATTAGTATGTTGACATGTAATGAACAAGAATTGAAATTTCAGTTTTGCTGGTAGACACACTTAGAAGTATTTCTTGTCATGTATTACATGTAACTGTTACATCACAAAATCAGACAAATATAATATAATAAACAGGAAAAATCTATGTTTGATTTAATATATTAATATCGAATGCAACCCTATTACGTTGGATATAAAACGATTCCTCAGAGGAATTCAAGACACTTATATAACAGCCTGAAATAAACTTCATTAACCGTCAGGTCTGGACTTTAACTTGAAAGTTAAAGATATAGTTCCAGTTGAACAAAAATCTCTAGAAAATATAAAAAAGTCACATCTCAAATCACGAGAAGGTAAAACTTTAATCTTGTTTATCTCTCTGTTGTCTTGTATCATGATCCCCAAAAATAATTGGTAGACAAGAGAATATTTTATTTAGTCTCATCTCTTCATTTTATAAAACACACAAATAGTTAATAAAACGTAATCATAAAACATACAAAAGCCACTCAAAAACATCTAAAGACAGTTATAAATATTCATTTATTCCACGAACAGTTATAAATTGGAATCATCTGCCACAACAAATAGTATCATGCAGTACAGTACATGGATTCAAGAGTATGATCTCAGAATCTGCTCTCATCCCCATTTTCTATCCCTAACTATTTTGTTATCAAATGTATATAGTCTTATCTAAATGAAATTTTTCAAATGTACATACATGATTTTGATTTTTTGATTTTGTTTCTTTTTATTTTTCTTGCTACAATGTAAATTATAAAATTTTGTAGTCGACGCCCGGCTAATAATCTTCAATAATTGAAGGATCGCTAGAAACTTAAAGAAGAAGAAAAGGAGTTATGAGAGACTATCTATATTGTATGAACATTATCTACACTATTTAATTAGCAATATGAAATACATCTTATTTGCTTGATAAAACAAATAACAACGCAACTCTTTATATACTGGACAATTCATTAAGACATGTTTTTCATCTTTAATTAAACAATTTTCATTATACGTGTTGTCAAAACAATTTTAATTTTCAACTAAAAGACTATTACACCTTCCAGTCTCAATTTTTTATTTTCAAAGGAGCAGTACTACTTCTAGATTTTTCAAATGCACTTCTAGATTTTCCAGGTATGTTTTTAATAAATATTTTTCTTCGCAAAATTCATTTTTGAACAATCTGTAAGTACGTAGTTTGCTACGCTCGTTTGACATTAAATCATTATACCATTGTTCTTTAAATCTATTAAAACAGGTATGCTCAATATTTTTATAAAACGTTTATCAATAATTAAATCAGTATTACAAACATGCTCCATATCAACTTCTTTAAACTTTGTGTGAACTCTGAAGTTCCAATTTTTCAGTCTATTATAACATGGCATGAGCACTTAAGTCATGATTTGTTACGCCAGACGCGCGTTTTGTCTACATGAGACTCATCGGTGGCGCTCGAATGAAAACAGTTGGAAGGCTAATCAAACACACACAACTAACCGTGTGGACATTAACAATGAGCAAAAACCTATATCATATAGTTAGCTATAAAAGACCCCGACATGACGAATTACATAACAAGAAAACCAACGGCCTGATTCATGTACAAAACAATAAACAAACAAAACACAAAAATAATAGACAGCAACCAAATACAATCACCTATCGGTCTCGCTGAAATGTCAAATATGGCTTTCAGGGTCCACAAAACGATGTAGGTAGTTCAACTATTTATGGTTTTGTGACTTTGATGTTGAAATTCGAATGGCGCCAGATGATGCCAATTTTTCCATTTACATCCTTTTGGGTATTACGTTTAACTTTACTTTTCAAGAATATATTAGATTACATGAAAACAATTCATGCAGCCATTTTTGTAAGGTTCTTTAATTTTTCCCTTAAAAATGTCCTAATAAAGTCAAACATGGCTTCAAACGAGTCAAACTGATAAAACGACCACTATCCCTAAAACCAATGAACCGGTTAAAATCAAACTTGCCAAATGTTCTAGTGACTATTCGTAATAATTGCTGTTACTTTGTTGTCAAATTCCAATTCAAGATTGATACCAGCTGATGTCGAAGTTCATGATGAAACCTTCACGGCACTTATAAATTGCTTTTCAAAAACACATAAAATAAAAAGAATACACGTATTTAGTTTTGTAAATGAAATAAAAAATGTTTAGATTAACCTTCATACATGTAAAGAACGCTCTAACGTTAACATTTGAAAGCTGGGGATGCAACGTTAGTAGTTTTGTAATTTTGGTCCTGATGTTAAGTCAAATATTTATTTGATCATCTTTTCTTAAATACTGACTAGACTTTTTTAAACATCTTCTTTTCAGGAACCATTGACGTAGTTACAAAAAATCGTCTGGTATACTCCTTTAAAGATTATGAACAAGTGATATTACTTTGAGGTCGTAAAATCCGCCAGAGAAGAAGACGTTAAAATCATATTAGACATCATATTTTGCGTCTCCTTTCATGAACAATTGGAGTTCAACAAAGAATAAACATGCATCCTTTTCACTAAGGGAGCTACCATTTGATTTTTATGGGGGGCTAGGATGAAAAATTTTGTCCTGCCTTTTTATTTTTCCCTCTATTCGGTCCTGCCTTTTTATTTTTCACTCTATTCGGTCTGCCTTTTTTTTTTAGTTTATTCTGACTTTTTTTTTACATAAATTGTCATCCTGCCTTTTTTTTTGCAAATAATCTCATCCTGCCTTTTTTTTTACTCAAAACTCCTGTCCTGCCTATTTTTTTCAAATTTCATCCTAGCCCCCCATAAAAATCAAATGGTAGCTCCCTAATAAGGTA